TTTAATGGGGGCTTCCAGAAAAATGGGGGCTTCTGGAGGAAGCGAAGGCATATCGATGGAGTCAAAGAAGTCATGCAAATCTTTTACATCTACTGTAGATTCTGACGTAAATAATTTAGAGTAAAATGAAGAGAAAATGTCATTAATCGCCTTCTGATCTGTAGTCATCACTCCATTATCCGCCCTCACTCCTGTTATGGTTTGTTTAGCTCTCATGTCGCACAGTCGATTAGCCAAAAGCTTACAAGTCTTTCCACCATGTTCGTAAAATTCACTCTTGTTCCTTCTTCTTTGGCTCTCAGCGAAGGCGGTCGCACTTTTCTCCTCTCCTCTCCCTTATCTTCCCTGCTTAGCTCCTCATGTCCTTGTCTTGTCTCATGTTTTTTATTACTTTCCCTGGAACAGTCTCTCACAGTCTGTTCTTTAAAACCTAAAAGAGAATTATGGATTTGATCAACTGGTCTCTGAATGCTATTGACACCCTTTAACGAGAAGTCTGGGCTCGGGAGAGTCCGAGTGCCCTGGAGGGACTTTCCCTGCCGGATACACGATGGATGGGTGGCAGAGGGTCGTGTGCCTGGCGGGACTGTTGATCGAGGACGCTGAAGATATCTACCTATTCGGAACCATGATAACAGGGTTCTTGCTGATCGGAGCTGGCTTGGCCCTGGCTTATCGGAGAATTAAGAAAGCGGAACCGTCTGTTCAAACCCCCACAAGGCTGCCTGCTGGGATTGGAACGACAGGTGCGACTTCTCAGAAAGGGCTCACTGAAGGCAGCATGGTTAAGAGCTTGGAGGCGCTTACGACTGCAGTGAATGCTCAGAATAACACCTTTGAGCGTATGTATGTTGGATTACATCAGGAAAGAATCAACTCAGAACAACATCTCTGGGTGGAGCTGGATTACATCTTGGATCAGTTGGCTGCGGTCCTGAGGTCTCAGAATCTGCTATGTGAGCAAAAAGAGTGACAAGACCACAGAATCAACGGCTAATAACATCACGGAGAAACTCGCAGCTATTAACGGGAGATTGAGAGACCAGTGTCAGAGTGTTAAAAACAGCTTGAAATTCTCACGAGTTGTTTGCAAAAGAAAAATTACCATCATAATGCGGCTACCCCTTCGGCGCCAGCTGTGGGCTCAAGGCTGGAGCCGAACAAAAACTCCCTGATAACGACTGTGTTGAGTCTGTTCCTTCCCATTCCATGCAAGGCCACCTGGGTTGGCTGGAAGACTGTTTACTTAGCCTGGCAGGGCGAAGGACACTGTCTTGTTACACCCCAGCCCAGGGAAAACTGGCGTGCAACATAAGGAAAATAAAAATAAGGAAAAATGCCCCCCCACTCCCTGCTCTTAAGGAGGACGAACCAACAAAAAACAGCTACCACGGATTTCACAACAGCCAGTCAGTTTATTGAGTCCCAAAAGGTAGCAAGCATCAGGGTGAGCATGGCCAAAACAACAAACAAAAACTCTAGAAATGAAATGCAGCTGGCTTACCTTCACAGAAAACCCCAAACAAAAATTACAGGTGTCTTACCTGCCTCCCTAACCAAAAACAGGAGAAAAGGTTCCCAAAGAAAAATGGCTTCTCACCCCTACAGCTACCGAGTAAAAACAGTATCGACAACTATTTACATCTATATACAACAAACTATTTACAACACAGGGGGAGATCACGACCCATGACAAACTGAAACACAGGGCTTAAATACATAGAGGGAGCAATCAGGGAATGGACAACAGGAGGGAAACACAGCTGGGGCAAATCAGAACTAACGAGACAAGGAAGCGTAAACTGAACACACTGAGATAAGACAGACCTTCAAAGTAAAACAGGAAACACATAACAGTCACGCCTAAAACAAAACACTGACAACATTGAATCGTAACAGTCTCAGCTGAACTATGGACACGCACACACATACACTTACACTGATAAGCACGCACTCATCCCCCTCCCTTTCCAAACGCCTTCGATGCTTGTTTCCTGCGGGGGAACACGGCAGGTCTGTGTGACACGCTGGAATGGTAGCGCTATGCAGGGCGGCTGCTGTGTTCGCTTCGGATTACTCCTCACCCCCCACCCAATCCTGTGGCTTGTCATGTCTTTCACAATGTTGTGCTGTGGACATTTATGTGCCCTGCATGTGGCGAATAAAGCTTTGATTGATTGATTGATTGATAATCAGACATCCTTCCACTTGCTGAGTTGAAAGTAGGGTGAGTTTGGTTTGTAAGCTCAGGCGTTCTTTGTACTGCGCCGGTCATGGTGATTGACCGTACTGCCTGTTGATGCTCATAATCTGGTCTGAAATAAGCCTCTGCTCCCATTGTGCACACTGTCTTTGAGATGCTGCCAATTAAATTATTTCTCCTCTCAGGAACGCCTTTAAAGCCTCCCATACCGTCCTGTTTGGCATACCAGGTGTTCCATTCTCACTAAGTAACGTTTTAATTTTACAAGAAATATTAAAGACAAATTGTTCATCTGTGAGCAACAATGGATCCAACCTGCAGATCTTTCTCACAAACTTACAGCCGAAAAACAACAACAACAAAAAAACATGAAAACCAACCCCACCCGAGAAATAAAATACAATAACATGCCACAACGTAAAGGGAACTAAAACAATACCAACCACCAATATTACCTCAGCAGGTTGCATTGAACAGCAACTGCCTAAGCCCCTGCTCGCTTCCCATACTAGCTAAGTACTCCCCCGTACCACTACCACGTACGCCTTGTACCTGCACCATTAAACGTTAACCCCTAAACTTAAAGCAGGGCCCATATTTAAAGGTGATGAAGAAGAGAAACAAAACACAACAAGACCAAAGCAACCACACAACAAACAAGTTTTCCTTAAAATGAACAGCAAAGAACACAATACTATACTAACGGCACGGCTGTACAGTATCAGTCAGATCGAGGGTGCTGCGCAGACCAGTCTGACCTATTATACTGGTGATTTAAGGTGAGTGCACTGACCGGCTACAATAGCCACCTCAGGATGGAGAGCGTTGGTCTTCCTCAAAGGATTAAATAAAGCGGGTAGCCTCATCAACTGACTCCGGTTGACGGTTATTTCCATCTGGAAGAGTAATCCGAAGTATGGCGGGGAAGAATAGGGAAGGTTGGAGGCCTCTCCTATACAACTCGGCCATAACATCCTTATACTGGGCTCGCTGATTTTCGAAGTCTGCGTTGTAGTCCATTTAGAACTGGAGCTTGTGTCCACAGTACTCAGTTTGCTGTGGACCCAGATCCACTGATTCCAGCAAACCCACCAGACGAATGTTTGGCCCTCTGCTTCTGTTCTCCAAGTCAGAAAGTTTAGTTTTGAAAAGTTTGTTCTCCCCCTCTCTCCCCCTTCACATTTAGTCCATCTTGTCCAGCTTACCATTAATTACATCAAGATGTAGGCTTAACATCTGCAGCTATGGCTGTTCTGTGCTGTTCAAGCAAGGCGACAAGCGCCGGGTTCAGGGCAGCACTAGCGCCACTCTCAGCAGCAGTTTTCTTCTCAGTTTGTCTTCTTACCTTGGACATCTTTTCAGTGTCATACTTATTAAAGGCCCCCAAACATACGTGTCTAACAGCAAAGTGGGGATCAGGAAGTAAAATAAGAAGAGTTAAGCAGGTGCTAGTAGCTGACACACCTTACCCCACTGCCAGAAAAATGAAATCCCCATAAGTAGTTGTCAATGCAGTGGAAACTCTCCTGAGTCATGGCTCGTGTTGGTAGCTCTCCACAAAACAGCATGTCTTCATGTAAACTGCTGTCCCAGCAATAATGTACAAAAACCAGAAACAATGCACCATTCGTGACCAGTGTTGTTCAAATTACTAAAAAAAATGTAATTAGTCACTTATTACTTCTCCAAAAAAACAATCCTGTTACATTACTGGTTACTTATTTTCAAATGTAATTAGTAACTTATTACTCAGTTACTTTTTAAAAACATGATACACAACGTGAATATGTAATGTAAGGCAACAGACCTTTCAGCCCAATTCTATTTTTTTCTCCATAATCCATCATATCAAACTGAATCTAATGAAAAAGTCTCTTCATAAACTTGTTTCATTAGTTTTAATCTTTTAACTTTATGCATCAAGCAAAATTAAATTATATGCAACAGTCTTTGACTTGAAGAAATTCTTTAACATTTAAACTTATTTTTTGCATATTCCAGCATATAAAATAAAATGTTTTGTGTTTATACTCTTTCAAATAGATGCAAGTAAAACACAGTCGAAAATAAATAAAATCAAAGATTCAGCAGCACTTCTATAGTCACCTGTTTAGCAGGAGTGGGGCGGGTGGAGGTTTGCCCACAGCAGTCATGTCAGTGGGGGCATCTGGGGGTTTCTCTGTGAGTGTCACATTCCCGTGGCAGCCTGCTCGCTGCACGCTCAGATTTGAAATTTAATTTTTCGCTGTAGAAAGAAGTTTTCTTCCCATGCAGAGTGCACTGCAGACGCTAATGTTTCTGTCACTTTTTACAGAATCAAACTCAAAGTAATGTGAGTACTTCCAAGCTTTAATCGCTGCATGGTTGTACTCTCTCCATCGCTCTATATTTTCCAATGTCACTTTTATCTTAATTTTTGTGTTTTGAGAACTTCTCCATAGCTTTTAATAACTCCAAATGACAGGCAGAGTGTCTTCTTCTGCTTGCTTATTGAGGCTGATTAAACAACTCCCACCAAGTGGGCTTCATCCACTACTTTCAGGAACAAGCTGCACATACAAAATCTATCACACTGAAAACATGCTGCACATAAAAATATCAGCGCAAACACGGTCCTTCAGCTGATTTTACCTGTCTTGAAGTTTCTGTAAATGGCAGCATGAAGTTGGAGTGCTACAACTGTAAAAAACATCTCTCTCTCTCAAGACACACTGACACAATGTTCAACAGACCATTCTCTTCTCTTCATAGTTAAACTCCTTAAACATGAAGTCAGTGATGTTGCTTTCTGACTCACCTCCTCCTCCTGTCAGCATCATGGTGGGACTGACAGATGACCTCCCCATCCTGCTGGAAACCGGACTCGACTGTCCATCTCTGTCTTTACTGTCATGTCTGGACTTGCCATCTCCTACAGAGGCACAACAACATCAACTCAGTAAGTCCTGAAGAGTCAGTCAAAGTAAACTTTATCGTCATCTCTGCCATATACAGTACAGTATACAGGGAGTGCAGAATTATTAGGCAAGTTGTATTTTTGAGAAATAATTTTATTATTGAACAACAACCATGTTCTCAATGAACCCAAAAAACTCATTAATATCAAAGCTGAATGTTTTTGGAAGTAGTTTTTAGTTTGTTTTTAGTTTTAGCTATTTTAGGGGGATATCTGTGTGTGCAGGTGACTATTACTGTGCATAATTATTAGGCAACTTAACAAAAAACAAATATATACCCATTTCAATTATTTATTTTTACCAGTGAAACCAATATAACATCTCCACATTCACAAATATACATTTCTGACATTCAAAAACAAAACAAAAACAAATCAGCGACCAATATAGCCACCTTTCTTTGCAAGGACACTCAAAAGCCTGCCATCCATGGATTCTGTCAGTGTTTTGATCTGTTCACCATCAACATTGCGTGCAGCAGCAACCACAGCCTCCCAGACACTGTTCAGAGAGGTGTACTGTTTTCCCTCCTTGTAAATCTCACATTTGATGATGGACCACAGGTTCTCAATGGGGTTCAGATCAGGTGAACAAGGAGGCCATGTCATTAGTTTTTCTTCTTTTATACCCTTTCTTGCCAGCCACGCTGTGGAGTACTTGGACGCGTGTGATGGAGCATTGTCCTGCATGAAAATCATGTTTTTCTTGAAGGATGCAGACTTCTTCCTGTACCACTGCTTGAAGAAGGTGTCTTCCAGAAACTGGCAGTAGGACTGGGAGTTGAGCTTGACTCCATCCTCAACCCGAAAAGGCCCCACAAGCTCATCTTTGATGATACCAGCCCAAACCAGTACTCCACCTCCACCTTGCTGGCGTCTGAGTCGGACTGGAGCTCTCTGCCCTTTACCAATCCAGCCACGGGCCCATCCATCTGGCCCATCAAGACTCACTCTCATTTCATCAGTCCATAAAACCTTAGAAAAACCAGTCTTGAGATATTTCTTGGCCCAGTCTTGACGTTTCAGCTTGTGTGTCTTGTTCAGTGGTGGTCGTCTTTCAGCCTTTCTTACCTTGGCCATGTCTCTGAGTATTGCACACCTTGTGCTTTTGGGCACTCCAGTGATGTTGCAGCTCTGAAATATGGCCAAACTGGTGGCAAGTGGCATCTTGGCAGCTGCACGCTTGACTTTTCTCAGTTCATGGGCAGTTATTTTGCGCCTTGGTTTTTCCACACGCTTCTTGCGACCCTGTTGACTATTTTGAATGAAACGCTTGATTGTTCGATGATCACGCTTCAGAAGCTTTGCAATTTTGAGACTGCTGCATCCCTCTGCAAGATATCTCACTATTTTTGACTTTTCTGAGCCCTGTCAAGTCCTTCTTTTGACCCATTTTGCCAAAGGAAAGGACGTTGCCTAATAATTATGCACACCTGATATAGGGTGTTGATGTCATTAGACCACACCCCTTCTCATTACAGAGATGCACATCACCTAATATGCTTAATTGGTAGTAGGCTTTCGAGCCTATACAGCTTGGAGTAAGACAACATGCATGAAGAGGATGATGTGGACAAAATACTCATTTGTTTAATAATTCTGCACTCCCTGTATAGAGAGACGAGATGATGAGGCACCAGTTCATTCAGTGCAAAAGAACAACAATAACTATAGAAAGAGTAAGACATAAATATGCACTTTAAGACTAAGGTAAGGGGAGATATACACTTTGCAGTTGTATGTTGTTTGTTGGTATTTGTCTACAGCAGCAAAAGAAGCTGCAGAGGAAGTAAAGAAACACTCAGTTCCTGTGACATCAGACCTTGACCCATTAAACCTATTATCAAACCAAACCATGCAGCTTATCAATTTGCAGTCCACTTCTTCTTATACACAATATACTATGTAATATATTCCACCCCTGCCTAAAGACAGTCATATTTAATCTGCCAATGAACATTCAGATAGTTGCTGTGAAAGACGAGTGCATCTGACCTGCTCTTTCGTTTATGGCATGTAGTCTGTTTTATCTCAAGAAATAACTCTGTGATCTTTTTGTTGTCCATGTTAAGACGTACTTTCACCATAGCAGACCCACGTCCATCTTTATAAAGGAGGTGAGTGTCAGAGCACTTGGAATCTCTGAGCACTATATTTCAAATGTCCCAGAGGTGTAAGTTAAAGGGGGACGGAGCGACTGCAGGTGCAGTGTCTGTGGTGCTTCAGCATCTGGATAGCGGTATAGAAGAGGAGCAAGCATAAAGGGAGTAACTTTTTTTTTAAGTGTCAGGTAATTTCAAATGCTATGTTTTTATGAGTTTAACAAATATCTGCAAACACACAAACTGTTTGTGTGCAGTCTTTGCAGTGAGTTGCTAGCTAAAGATATAGCTGCTGCATTTCCAGGAAGAGAAAAAAATGAGAGCTAACTCAGAAATGATAGTAAAGCTAAGAGCTTTTCAGGGGCATTAGATGAACTGTAATTTAAAAATTAAATGTAATTGTCTTGATGCTCAATTATCCAAGTGAGGAACTCCCACAGAGTTGATTCTGTTCATCTGGACGTTTCAGTAGGAGAAACGGTTCATCAGGATCAGGTGACTGCAGGTTCAAACCTTATAAACAGGACATTTGTACAATGACTGAAACTAGCACCACTTACTGAACAATGGGCTTGGAGGTCTGTTCTGCCTTGAGTTTAGTGCCCCCTACTGGGCCTTGTAAATTGTTGTTAATGTGCATGCACTTTGACCAAGAACAAGAAGTCAGCCATGTTAGTTGGGGTAACCAGGTTCACATAAGTTCAAGGGTTCCTGTAACTGTCTGCTCCAATCCTCTTTCTTGTTTATGCCTTCAAAAGCATTGTCTTTTCACTGTGATGCAATGGTGTATGGTAGTGCAATGTAAAATAAGTCACCTGGAGCTTGGATGCTATATCCTGACTCCCGTATCCTTTTGAATGGAGTTTGGCTGGCTGCTGAATTGTGTACATACGCACATATGCACACACACAAGGAGAGCAGTACAGTGAAAAGACGAATACCCAGATGGCTAAACTATACTATTGCAGCAGATTGCAGAGAACATGGACAAAAAATGTAGGAGAAGCCCTTCTGTCACGGCAGGGTGCGCCGGATTGGTTTGACTTCAGGACCCAGATGCAGATGCAGAGAGAAAGGCGTTGCAGGAGACGTGACGTGTTTTTAACCAAAAGCGAGCTTTATTTAGCTGGCTGCAGAAAAAACATGAAACTAAGAAAACAAAGAGGAATGTGAACACTGTTGTGTAACTAAAAGACTATGAACCTCAGTGAAAAAACTATGAAGAAACCATGAACACTGAGTAACTATCAAACACAGTGAAGACAAAAACCTATGACACTCTATGACTGAGAGATGACAGACAACACGACGCTGAACACAGGAATATGAAATGCCGTAAGGGACATAAAAATGAGAGCGTTTCAGTTGTGTGTGTGAGAGCGTTTCAGTTGTGTGTGTGAGAGAGTTTCAGTAGTGTGTGTGAGAGCGTTTCAGTGTGCGTGTGAGAGCGTTTCAGTTGTGCGTGTGAGAGCGTTTCAGTAGTGTGTGTGAGAGCGTTTCAGTAGTGCGTGTGAGAGCGTTTCAGTAGTGCGTGTGAGAGCGTTTCAGTAGTGTGTGAGAGCGTTTCAGTTGTGTGTGTGTGAGAGAGTTTCAGTTGTGTGTGTGTGAGAGCGTTTCAGTAGTGTGTGTGAGAGCATTTCAGTTGTGTGTGTGAGAGCGTTTCAGTTGTGTGTGTGAGAGCGTTTCAGTTGTGTGTGTGAGAGCGTTTCAGTAGTGTGTGTGAGAGCGTTTCAGTTGTGTGTGTGTGAGAGCATTTCAGTTGTGTGTGTGAGAGCATTTCAGTTGTGTGTGTGAGAGCGTTTCAGTAGTGTGTGTGAGAGCGTTTCAGTAGTGTGTGTGAGAGCGTTTCAGTAGTGCGTGTGAGAGCGTTTCAGTTGTGCGTGTGAGAGCGTTTCAGTAGTGCGTGTGAGAGCGTTTCAGTAGTGCGTGTGAGAGCGTTTCAGTAGTGCGTGTGAGAGCGTTTCAGTAGTGCGTGTGAGAGCGTTTCAGTAGTGCGTGTGAGAGCGTCTCAGTAGTGCGTGTGAGAGCGTTTCAGTAGTGCGTGTGAGAGCGTTTCAGTAGTGCGTGTGAGAGCGTTTCAGTAGTGCGTGTGAGAGCGTTTCAGTAGTGCGTGTGAGAGCGTTTCAGTAGTGCGTGTGAGAGCGTTTCAGTATGTGCGTGTGAGAGCGTTTCAGTTGTGTGTGTGAGAGCGTTTCAGTTGTGTGTGTGAGAGCGTTTCAGTAGTGTGTGTGAGAGCGTTTCAGTAGTGTGTGTGAGAGCGTTTCAGTAGTGTGTGTGAGAGCGTTTCAGTAGTGTGTGTGAGAGCTTTTCAGTAGTGTGTGTGAGAGCGTTTCAGTAGTGTGTGTGAGAGCGTTTCAGTGTGTGTGTGAGAGCTAAAATTTCAGTTGTGTGTGTGAGAGAGTTTCAGTAGTGTGTGTGAGAGCGTTTCAGTCTGTGTGTGTGAGAGCTAAAATTTCAGTAGTGTGTGTGAGAGCGTTTCAGTATGTGTGTGTGAGAGCGTTTCAGTAGTGTGTGTGAGAGCGTTTCAGTTTGTGTGTGAGAGCGTTTCAGTTGCGTGTGTGAGAGAGTTTCAGTTGTGTGTGAGAGCGTTTCAGTTGTGTGTGTGTGAGAGAGTTTCAGTTGTGTGTGTGAGAGCGTTTCAGTTGTGTGTGTGTGAGAGCATTTCAGTTGTGTGTGAGAGCGTTTCAGTAGTGTGTGTGAGAGCGTTTCAGTAGTGCGTGTGAGAGCGTTTCAGTAGTGTGTGTGAGAGCGTTTCAGTAGTGCGTGTGAGAGCGTTTCAGTAGTGAGTGTGAGAGCGTTTCAGTAGTGTGTGAGAGCGTTTCAGTAGTGCGTGTGAGAGCGTTTCAGTTGTGT